GTGCCCTGCCCGGTGCCCTGCCCGGTGCCATGCCCTCTCTGTGTCTGCAGGCGCAGGCCGCGGGCTCTGCCCAGCCCTCGCCCACCCACGGGTGCCCTCCCGCCGTGCCCGTGCCCACCCGCTCGGCCTCGGCGGGCTCCACGCCCACGCACGGTGCCCAGGACACGCTGGCAGGGCTCGGGGACGACGTGCACGAGGCCTTCACACAAGGTGAGCGGGCGTGGGGCGAGGGCTGGGGGGGAAGTGTGCCCTGGCACAGGGTGCCCACGCAGCTGGGGCTGCCCCTGCATCCCTGGCAGTGCCCAAAGCCAGGCTGGCACTGGGGATGGAGCACCCTGGAGCAGGAGTGCCAGTGAACATCTCAGGGGTGCCAGTGGGCACATCAGGAATGCCAGGAAAATCTCAGGAGTTCCAGTGGGCACCTCAGGAGTGCAGTGGGCACCTCAGGAGTGCCAGTGGACACTTCAGGAGTGCCAGTGAACATCTCAGGAGTGCAGTGGGCACCTCAGAAATGCCAGTGGACACTTCAGGAGTGCCAGTGAACATCTCAGGAGTGCCAGCGGGCACATCAGGAGTGCCAGTGGGTGCCTAGCTGGTGCCAGTGAGCACTTGCAGCTGGTTTTGGTGCAGCAGCAGCAGCAGGAACGCCGTGGCACTGCCCCTCTGAGCCCTGCAGCTCCCCTGGGAGAAGGGCATGCCCTCTCCTGGTGCCATGGCAGGAGCAGCGAGCCGGGCAGCTTTTGCAGGGGGGCAGCATGCCAACACCAGCTCCATCTGTGCCCAGTGACATAAACGGGCAGGAGACCTTCCTCCCTTTCGATGCCTTTAGTAAGCAGAATCATCTCAGGCGGGGAGAAATCGATGGGTGGCACGGAGCAGGAGGGTGAGGCAGCTTTGTCCTGGGCTGCAGGCAGAGCTGGGGAGAGGAGGAGGGTGAGGCAGCTGTGTCCTGGGCTGCAGGCAGAGCTGGGGATTCCTCCTCACGGGAGAGTCGCAGATTCCTGGTTTCTGTCTAACACCCCGGGACGTCTCTTTAATCAGCATCTTTTAGGTTAGGGTGAGAAACAAAAAGGATCCAAGCAGGTACGGGGCTGCGCTCCCATCCTTAGGTGTCACTTAGGTCACTTGTTGGCTCGTGATTTTAGGGGTTTTTCCTGTAAAAACCGTAAAAATTCGGGGCGCAGTGCATTTCTCATCTGGCTCTGATGTCACTGCTGTTCTGGGTCTGTCCCGGGTCCCTCCCTGGCCAGCATCAGGGGACAATGGTTAATCACCGGCCATTAACGGGTGATTGAGGAGCTTTTCTTTGGCAGCGAAACAAAGAGGTCTGACTGGTCTGACTGGTTTCTAACTCTGAAACTCAAAAAAAATTACAACTTTCTATTTATAACACCTGGCAGCCCTGTTTGTGCTGTTCCTTCTGCCCGCGCTGGGAAGGAGCAGGGCCGTGGCAGGGCAAAGCCCCGGCACAGCCGCTGCAGCGAGCTCCTCACCCTGCTCCTGCTGGATCCACCAGGGCCTGCTGCCTGTCCCGAGGGCTGCCCTTCCCGGGGCCCCGGGGCCTTCCTGGGCTTCAACTGGGGTGTTCCAGGGCTTGAACTGGGGTGTTCCAGGGCTTGAACAGGGGTGTTCCAGGTCTTAACTTGTGGTGTTCCAGGTCTTAACTTGGGGTGTTCCAGGGCTTGAACTGGGGTGTTCCAGGTCTTAACTTGGGGTGTTCCAGGTCTTAACTTGTGGTGTTCCAGGGCTTGAACTGGGGTGTTCCAGGTCTTGACTTGGGGTGTTCCAGGTCTTAACTTGTGGTGTTCCAGGTCTTTAACTTGGGGTGTTCCAGGTCTTTAACTTGGGGTGTTCCAGGTCTTAACTTGTGGATTTTCAGGTTTTAACTTGTGGTGTTCCAGGTCTTAACTTGTGGATTTCCAGGGTTTTAAATGTGCATTTCCCAGGTTTTTAACTTGTGGTGTTCCAGGGCTTGAACTTGGGGTGTTCCAGGTCTTAACTTGTGGATTTTCAGGTTTTAACTTGTGGTGTTCCAGGTCTAAACTTGTGGTGTTCCAGGTTTTTAAATGTGCCTTTCCCAGGTTTTTAACTTGTGGTGTTCCAGGGCTTGAACTTGGGGTGTTCCAGGGCTTAACTTGTGGTGTTCCAGGTCTTTAACTTGGGGTGTTCCAGGTCTTAACTTGGGGTGTTCCAGGTCTTAACTTGGGGTGTTCCAGGTCTTAACTTGGGGTGTTCCAGGTCTTAACTTGGGGTGTTCCAGGTCTTAACTTGGGGTGTTCCAGGTCTTAACTTGGGGTGTTCCAGGTCTTAACTTGGGGTGTTCCAGGTCTTAACTTGGGGTGTTCCAGGTCTTAACTTGGGGTGTTCCAGGTCTTAACTTGGGGTGTTCCAGGTCTTAACTTGGGGTGTTCCAGGTCTTAACTTGGGGTGTTCCAGGTCTTAACTTGGGGTGTTCCAGGTCTTAACTTGGGGTGTTCCAGGTCTTAACTTGTGGTGTTCCAGGTCTTTAACTTGTGGTGTTCCAGGTTTTAACTTGTGGCTTTCCAGGTTTTTAACTTGTTGTTTCCGAGGTCTTTAACTTGTGGCTTTCCCAGATTTTTAATTTGTAGCTTTCCAGGTTTTTAATTTGTGGTTTTCTAGCTTTTTAACTTGTTGTTTTCCAGGTTTTTCATTTGTGGCTTTCCAGGTTTTTAATTTGTGGTTTCCCAAGTTTTTAACTTGTGGTTTCCCAGGTTTTTAACTTGTGGTTTCCCAAGTTTTTAATTTGTGGCTTTCCCAAGATTTTAACTTGTGGCTTTCCCAGGTTTTTACTTGTGGCTTTCCCGGGTTTTTAATTTGTGGCTTTCCCGATTTTTTAACACCTGACAGCATCCCAGATATGAGTTGTGAGGAACCAGGTGTTGGTGGGGACCAAAACAAACCCACAGACACCCCTCAGCACACTGATTCTTCTTCAACAAAAACATCTCAGATACCAGAGAGAGCCAGGACATGGTGGTAGCACAGGATCAGTCACTCCTGCACACCCAGCAGACACTCAAAAATGAGGTGGTCCCACCTCTGCTGTGGTGAGGGCACAGAGGGCAGGGGCACGAGGTTTGGTTTTCCCCCCAGGACATGAGTCCCCCACCAGCTGCCCCGTTAGTGAGGGGAGCTCTGGAGCAGGACAGCTTTGAGAACTGAGCCCAGAGATGTTGGTCTTAGTCCTGAGATTAAGAAGGTTTCCTCTGCAGCTGATCTCTTGATGTTCCACTCAGCAGAGGATCCCCAAGGCCGGCACTGGCACCATGACCAAGTGCAGGTTTAGAACAAAACCTGAAGGTTTTTGGGTGAAATTCTCAGATACAGAGGCCACGCTCTAGTTAGACAATCAGTGCTGCTGTTGGCCAGCTTGGCAGAGAAGGAGACAGTGCCTGGGGAGCCTGGCCCCAGCACTGCCCACAGCCAGGGGCGATGTTCCTCTGGTGATGACCACGGTGGAACTCTAAGGAATGAAACGTGCTGAGAGGCTCTGCCATCATCTGCTGCTCCTTCCGGAGAGGCAGTCTGCACAATTAGTGCTGCTGCACATTAATCACACAGACTCAGGCCGACGGAGAGCGCAGGAAGCAGAACAAAATGTCGATTTTTTCACTTAATGCAATAATTGAGGGTCCCAGGCAGGAGATGTCTGGGTGGGCTTGGGAACATTATCCAGCTGTTCCACAGCAGCCCAGCCTGCTCCAGCCTGCCCTTGAGCACTGGGGGGTGATCCCTGTGCCAGTTTGTAGTAGAAAAAAAAATAAAATAAATTTTTTAGAAATATTTTTTTAGTAATTTTTTTGTAATATAAAGATATTAAGTTTAACATTTTCTTTATGCCCTTTTAAAATCTTTAACCTACTTCACCTTTCTCCTAATCCTGTCTCACAACAAAAAAAATAAATACATTAATAATTAACCAATAGTAAAACCCACCATACTCATTAAAAAAAAATCTCAAAACATCCAAAATTAACAAACCAAAACTACTACACAAAATTAGTGGGTTTGTTGGGTTGGTTTTGTTTTTTTTTTAATTAATTAAAAAGAAAAAAGAAATTTATGGGGTTTTTTATCTTTAACATGTGTGTTTCACAAAAACATATTTATTTTTTTAGTAGTTTAACAGATTATTAGTTACATAAAAAAATTGGTATTACTTTCTTCAATGTCTTTTTATTCCAAACCATCACACAGCCGTGTGCCCTGCTCTCCTGGCTCTTGTGGCCAGGCCCTGGCCAGTGGCCCCACTGGTGTCACTGGTCCAGGGGAGTGCCCAGGAGGCTGCGGGCAGCTCGGGGCCAGCACGAGCCCTGAGGAAGAGGAAGGGGGACAGTTCCAACAGCCCATCCCCTTGTCAGAGCCAGGACATCCCCCGACTGTCCTGAACGGTCCCAGCCCAGCCAGGGGGCTCTGAAGCCCTGGCAGGGGGGTCAGGGACCCTGGCGTGCAGCCCAGGAGCCCTGTTTGGGGCTTTGGGTTTGGCCCACGGAACAAGTTACCACCTTTGTAAGAATTAAAGTCACAGAAGTTCAGACAGCATGGTAGCAGCAATCACGGGGTGAAGGGGAAAATTTGGGAGCATGGTACAGCAGGGTTTGGGATTCTGTACTTGGGGGTCAGGGCCTCCAAGACAGAGGGATTTGGGCGTGAGGGATTTCACTGCAAATCCCCTTGTCGTGTCAGTTTTTGCACCCTGAGATCAGTGAAAAAGAACCTTCACAAATCACATCCTCAGCCCTGTCCTCTTCTTTCCTCTCCCTGGCATCCGTGTCCAGGGTGATGTTGGCACTCACAGACTGGTTCAGAGTAGAAAGTCACTGTCTAGCATAGGTGGTAGGTGTTGGGAAATAACTGTAAACATAGTGTATCTAGTTTTTAATATAAAAGATAGCACCAGCCCGGGAGGCAGAGAGCGTGCCTTGAGCTGACCTGCTGAGCAGGCCTCGGCGGGCCAGACACAAAATGTTTGAGATAAAAAATAACAACCAACCTTGAGAACGTGAGCCGCAGACTCCCGACTCCTTCAATGGCTGGGCTGGGAAAAAGAGACTTTGAGCACAGCTCGGGGTCATCTCAGCCTGAGAAAACCCGAGACCACCGGAGCTCAGCAGCCCTGAGGGTGGCTGTGGTCATGGCAGGGGTGGGCAGGGGCTGTCAGTGTCCCTGTCAGTGTCCCTGTCCCTGTCAATGTCACAGGGTGACCAGGGCATGGGGCAGGGGCTGTCACTGTCACTGTCCCTGTCCCTGTCCCTGTCCCTGTCCCTGTCCCTGTCCCTGTCCCTGTCCCTGTCCCTGTCCCTGTCCCTGTCCCTGTCCCTGTCCCTGTCCCTGTCCCTGTCCCTGTCCCTGTCCCTGTCCCTGTCCCTGTCCCTGTCCCTGTCCCTGTCCCTGTCCCTGTCCCTGTCCCTGTCCCTGTCCCTGTCCCTGTCCCTGTCCCTGTCCCTGTCCCTGTCCCTGTCCCTGTCCCTGTCCCTGTCCCTGTCCCTGTCCCTGTCCCTGTCCCTGTCCCTGTCCCTGTCCCTGTCCCTGTCCCTGTCCCTGTCCCTGTCCCTGTCCCTGTCCCTGTCCCTGTCCCTGTCCCTGTCCCTGTCCCTGTCCCTGTCCCTGTCCCTGTCAGTGTCAGTGTCACAGGGTGACCAGGGCAGGCAGCAGGGCCTGTCCCAGGGTGCATCCCCACCTCCCCAGCTTTGGGAGGGCCCCGGACGGGGACAGGGGACCCCGGGCAGTGGCAGGGGCAGTGCAGCCCCTCGTGACACCTGTGTGCCCTCAGGTACGAGGAGGAACCTCCGCAACGACCTGCTGGTGGCAGCTGACTCCATCACCAACACCATGTGCTCGCTGGTGAAGGAGCTGCACTCAGGTAAGGGCCGATGCCACGAGCACAGCTGGCAGCCACAGCTGGACATTTCTCCCCAGATTCATTTTCTGTTAAAGCTCTTGCTGTTATTTCTGTCAGAACTAGGTTTGTTTTCTGTAATGTCAGGTTGCCTGTCCATGTTCCCAATGAAAAACCAGTTTTATAGCCAGCATCACTGTCCTGGGCAATGCTGGGTGATGATCTCAGTGCACAGTCACAAGCCAGAGCAGGTTTTTGGGGTGGGTGTCCCCGGATTCCTGCTTAGTCCTGCAACACCTGACCCTCTGCCGTGCCTCCCCATCAGATGATGCAACCACGTCTCAATACTGTGCAGGAGGCCAGATGCATCCCTTGTCGTTAAAAGTGATGTGGAACACAGATAATTACTGCCTCCGAGCCTCCTCCGTGCCAGGGGAGCTGAGCACGCCCTGGGGCTGGGGCAGCTCCTGCCCCTCCCAGGGAAGTGTCCCTGGCCCTGGAGCCCTGTCAGCAGCAGGGCTGGCACACGCAGTGCTCCAGCAGCCAGGCCTGCTCCCAGAGCGTTTCTCCATGGAAAGGAAGGGCTGTCAGGCTCGAGAGGGGCTCTCCAGGGTGCAGCCCCCATCCCTGGGGGTGCCCAAGGAAACACGGAGCTCAGTGCTCTGGGCTGCTGACAAACAGGGCAGCCGTGCAGGCTGGACTCTGTGGATGCTGTTTTGCAAGGTGGAGGATGCTGTGGTTCTGTTCTGGGCTGCCTCTGCTGCTGAGCAGGGAGGGAAGTGCCCTGAGTCTGTTCCTGCCCTTGTGCAAGGTGGAGGATGCTGTGGTTCTGTTCTGGGCTGCCTCTGCTGCTGAGCAGGGAGGGAGGGAAGGGTCCCGTGTCTGCTCCTGCTCCCTGCTGGACCCAGCACCAAATTCCCCACAGGGGTCCCTCCCTGGGTGACCCAGGAGGCTCTGCCGTGGTGCTGGAGCCTCCTGGGATGGACGGGGGCTTTCACTGCCCAGCAGTAAATCCCCCCTCCCCTCCAGCCCCGTGACCTGGCAGCAGAGGCAGCTCGAGTTAATAAAGTTGTCCATGATGACACAGCAGCAGCAGGGCCGTGGCAGGGCCACCAGCTCCCCATAAATCACCTCAGCTCTGCCCCCGAGGCTCAGACAGAGAGCAAACCTCTGCCCAGAGCCTGCACTGGGCCCTTTTTGCTTTCCAGAGCAGGGGGAGGGCTGTAGAATCACAGAATTGTGGAACAACCTGAGTCAGAGCCGCAGGGATCCTGGAGCCCAGCTCCTGGGCCTGCCCAGGACACCCCAGCCATGCCAGCCTGGGCCATCCCCAAAGCCCCTGGCACAGCCCCAGCCGTCCCCAGGGTCCATCCCTGGCCTCCAAAGCCCTGTGGCTCACCAGGGAGGGGGAAGGAAATGAGAACGGAGCTGCTGAGAGGCTCGTGCTCCGGGAGCTGCAGAGAGCAGGGAAGGCTGCCCTGGAAGTGTCTGAAATGGGGTGGTTTGTGTAAATGAGCAGGAGCGTGAGTTATGCTCAGCTGATGGCAGCCAGCAGCGTGTCACACGTCGTGTCCCGAGGGGAGCTGTGGGAGCAGGCAGCTCCTGCAGCGTGGGGAGGGTGGGATCCGGGGGGCTGCAGCTCCCAGCCTGCCCTGCCTGTCCCTGTCCCTGTCCCTGCCTGCCCCTGCCTGCCCCTGTCCCTGTCCCTGACTGTCCCTGTCCCTGTCCTGTCCCTGCCTGTCCTTGTCCTGTCCCTGTCCCTGTCCCTGTCCCGGCCCCTGCCTGTCCCTGTCCCTGCCTGTCCCTGTCCCTGCCCTGTCCCTGCCCTGTCCCTGTCCCTGTCCCTGCCCCTGTCCCTGTCCCTGTCCCTGCCCTCTCCCTGTCCCTGTCCCTGTCCCTGCCCTCTCCCTGTCCCTGTCCCTGTCCCTGCCCTCTCCCTGTCCCTGTCCCTGTCCCTGCCCTCTCCCTGTCCCTGTCCCTGTCCCTGCCCTCTCCCTGTCCCTGTCCCTGTCCCTGCCCTCTCCCTGTCCCTGTCCCTGTCCCTGCCCTCTCCCTGTCCCTGTCCCTGTCCCTGCCCTCTCCCTGTCCCTGTCCCTGTCCCTGCCCTCTCCCTGTCCCTGTCCCTGTCCCTGCCCTCTCCCTGTCCCTGTCCCTGTCCCTGCCCTCTCCCTGTCCCTGTCCCTGTCCCTGCCCTCTCCCTGTCCCTGTCCCTGTCCCTGCCCTCTCCCTGTCCCTGTCCCTGTCCCTGCCCTCTCCCTGTCCCTGTCCCTGTCCCTGCCCTCTCCCTGTCCCTGTCCCTGTCCCTGCCCTGTCCCTGCCTGTCCCTGTCCCTCTGTCTGTCCCTGTCTGTCCCTGTCCCTGCCCAGGGAGGGGACACACACACAGCACCTCCCCGTGTCCCAGCGTGCCCCGATGGCCCCAGGCACCTTCTCCTGCCGAGGTGCTGGGCAGGGCTGGCTGGGAGCAGCAAAGGCTCATCCCCAGAGGGTGCTGGCACTGCCCAGGGCATGGGCACGGCCCGAGGCTGCCAGAGCTCCAGGACATTTGGACACTGCTCTCAGGGATGCCAGGGGGGATTGCTGGGGTCTGGGCAGGGCCTGGGGCTGGGCTGGATGATCCCTTCCAGCTCAGGACATTCCATGGGTCGTGATGGACTCGTGGAGTCACAGAATCACAGAATCACAAAACCACTGAGGGTGAGGAAGATCTCCAGGCCTGCTGAGTCCTCCTGCTCCCCCAGCACTGCCAAGGCCACCACTGCCCCGTGTCCCCAGGTGCCACTCCCACACCAAGTGCCACCCTGGCTCCCAGGGCTGCTGGGCAAACACTGATCCCGTTTTTCCTCCAGTTTTCCTCCAGCTGAGCTCAAAGGGATGTGCTTCAGGAGCTGAGGCAGCACTGGCTGTGCCTGACCAGCACTGAGCTCCAGGGCCCCGTTCTGGTTATTCCAGAGTTGGTTCTGCCTCTGATCTCCTCAGCTCCCCTTCAAGGACCCCCCACGTGTCACCGTCCTGCTCCCAAAGCCACCGAGGACGTGTCTGTGAGGTCCCCTCTGGTCACACCCACCCCAACACCTCTGCATCTCCAGCTCTTCTGTTTCTCTTTAGCCAACCTGAAACAAATGTTTGGGTGACTTCAGCTAATGCTTCAGGTTTAGACAGCAAATATTTGTCCAGCACGACCCCCAGGAAAGCATTTCCCAGCTGTTTGGTTGGTGTGCCAGGGCTGTTTGGCCAGTCCCAAGGGTTACTCATAAAGCTGCATCAGGCACATTTATGGGGCCATCCCCAAATGATCTTTAGGTTCCTGTGGATGCAAGGAACAGTGGGTTCCTCACCTTCCCAAGGCATCCTCAGAGCCTCAAACTGGAGATCCTTGGCTCTATGCACATGACCTATTGTGTCAAATTTAATTATGCAGGGGAAAATCAATCTTAGGTTGAAGATGTTACTCCCTATCCCAGTAAATTCAAAAACCAGACCTCGTGGTGCAACCACACTTCTTCAGTTCAGCCTGCATTTGGTGTTCCCCTCCCGTTACCACACAGAATGGTTTCCATTTGTGAGAAGGGCTTTGGCCTGCTCTCCCAGCCACACCACAGCTGTGCCTTTGGCTGGGGGCTCTCCCTGGCCCTGCCCTCACAGCCCGTGCAGCAGGGACAGCACCCCAGGGTCCCAGCAGCTGACTGCACAGCTCTCAGTGAGCTGTGAGTGAGAGCAGAGCCACCACTGCAGCAGGATGGGACCTCCTGCTCCCACCCTGCCAGAAACTCACCTGGCTCACACAGCTCCCAGGTGGAACCAGCTGAAACTCAGCAGGGCTTTCTTCACGGGGAAGGCTGCCAGGCATTGCAAGGGGCTGCCCAGGGAGGGGATGGAGTCCCCAGCCCTGGAGGGGTTGGAAGGCCCTGAGGATGTGGCACTTGGGGACACGGGGCAGTGGTGGCCTGGGCAGTGCTGGGGAACAGCTGGACTCGATGGTCTGGGGGATTTTCCCACCCAAACCATTCCGTGATTGCCTCTCCTCTCACCCCCTGTCTCATGTCTACTTTTTCTCTTTGTGCTTTTTATCTGCAGCAGAGGAAGAAGACGAAGAAGAAACAGAGAAGCTGCAGAATGGGAAAGACCGAGGTGAGGGGACAAACCTGTGTCAGAGCTCTGCAGCCTTTGCTGAGCCCTCCTCTGGGGGTTCCCTGGCTCCATTTGCAGCCCACAGGGGCCTCTGGGTGCAGGTGGAGGACCCTGGGTGCAGGTGGGTGGCCCTGGGTGCAGGTGGGTGTCCCTGGGTGCAGGTGGATGTCACTGGGTGCAGGTGGGTGTCCCTGGGTGCAGGTGGGTGGCTCTGGGTGCAGGTGGGTGGCCCTGGGTGCAGGTGGGTGGCCCTGGATCAGGTGGCTCTGGATCAGGTGACTCTGGGTGCAGGTGGCTCTGGTGGAGCACCCCCTGGCAGGTGCTCTGGCTGTGTCCTGGCACGTGTCACGTCCCAGCCCCAGGCCCTGTCCCCAGCAGCTGCCACGGGCCGGTGTCACAGTCCTGTCCTGTGCTCAGCTTTCCTGGCAGCAAAGGTCACACACGGAAATGTGAGGAGCTGCTGCATGGGCTGAGAGAAATCCAGCTCTGAGGGGGGCTCAGACAGAGCCCAGAGTGGGGCACTCACCAGGGCAGCCCCTGGGCACTGGCACTGTCGCCTGCCCAGCCCCTGCCCACGGTGACATTGCCTGGAGGAGTGTCCCTGTGCCACTGGGGATCCCATGGTGACCCAGGCTGGACAAGTGTCCCTGTGCCAGTGGGGATCCCTCCCTTGGTGACGCTGGCTGGATAAGTGTCCCTGTGCCAGTGGGGATCCCTCCCTTGGTGACGCTGGCTGGATAAGTGTCCCTGTGCCAGTGGGGATCCCTCCCTTGGTGACGCTGGCTGGATAAGTGTCCCTGTGCCAGTGGGGATCCCTCCCTTGGTGACGCTGGCTGGATAAGTGTCCCTGTGCCAGTGGGGATCCCTCCCTTGGTGACGCTGGCTGGATAAGTGTCCCTGTGCCAGTGGGGATCCCTCCCTTGGTGACGCTGGCTGGATAAGTGTCCCTGTGCCAGTGGGGATCCCTCCCTTGGTGACGCTGGCTGGATAAGTGTCCCTGTGCCAGTGGGGATCCCTCCCTTGGTGACGCTGGCTGGATAAGTGTCCCTGTGCCAGTGGGGATCCCTCCCTTGGTGACGCTGGCTGGATAAGTGTCCCTGTGCCAGTGGGGATCCCTCCCTTGGTGACGCTGGCTGGATAAGTGTCCCTGTGCCAGTGGGGATCCCTCCCTTGGTGACGCTGGCTGGATAAGTGTCCCTGTGCCAGTGGGGATCCCTCCCTTGGTGACGCTGGCTGGATAAGTGTCCCTGTGCCAGTGGGGATCCCTCCCTTGGTGACGCTGGCTGGATAAGTGTCCCTGTGCCAGTGGGGATCCCTCCCTTGGTGACGCTGGCTGGATAAGTGTCCCTGTGCCAGTGGGGATCCCTCCCTTGGTGACGCTGGCTGGATAAGTGTCCCTGTGCCAGTGGGGATCCCTCCCTTGGTGACGCTGGCTGGATAAGTGTCCCTGTGCCAGTGGGGATCCCTCCCTTGGTGACGCTGGCTGGATAAGTGTCCCTGTGCCAGTGGGGATCCCTCCCTTGGTGACGCTGGCTGGATAAGTGTCCCTGTGCCAGTGGGGATCCCTCCCTTGGTGACGCTGGCTGGATAAGTGTCCCTGTGCCAGTGGGGATCCCTCCCTTGGTGACGCTGGCTGGATAAGTGTCCCTGTGCCAGTGGGGATCCCTCCCTTGGTGACGCTGGCTGGATAAGTGTCCCTGTGCCAGTGGGGATCCCTCCCTTGGTGACGCTGGCTGGATAAGTGTCCCTGTGCCAGTGGGGATCCCTCCCTTGGTGACGCTGGCTGGATAAGTGTCCCTGTGCCAGTGGGGATCCCTCCCTTGGTGACGCTGGCTGGATAAGTGTCCCTGTGCCAGTGGGGATCCCTCCCTTGGTGACGCTGGCTGGATAAGTGTCCCTGTGCCAGTGGGGATCCCTCCCTTGGTGACGCTGGCTGGATAAGTGTCCCTGTGCCAGTGGGGATCCCTCCCTTGGTGACGCTGGCTGGATAAGTGTCCCTGTGCCAGTGGGGATCCCTCCCTTGGTGACGCTGGCTGGATAAGTGTCCCTGTGCCAGTGGGGATCCCTCCCTTGGTGACGCTGGCTGGATAAGTGTCCCTGTGCCAGTGGGGATCCCTCCCTTGGTGACGCTGGCTGGATAAGTGTCCCTGTGCCAGTGGGGATCCCTCCCTTGGTGACGCTGGCTGGATAAGTGTCCCTGTGCCAGTGGGGATCCCTCCCTTGGTGACGCTGGCTGGATAAGTGTCCCTGTGCCAGTGGGGATCCCTCCCTTGGTGACGCTGGCTGGATAAGTGTCCCTGTGCCAGTGGGGATCCCTCCCTTGGTGACGCTGGCTGGATAAGTGTCCCTGTGCCAGTGGGGATCCCTCCCTTGGTGACGCTGGCTGGATAAGTGTCCCTGTGCCAGTGGGGATCCCTCCCTTGGTGACGCTGGCTGGATAAGTGTCCCTGTGCCAGTGGGGATCCCTCCCTTGGTGACGCTGGCTGGATAAGTGTCCCTGTGCCAGTGGGGATCCCTCCCTTGGTGACGCTGGCTGGATAAGTGTCCCTGTGCCAGTGGGGATCCCTCCCTTGGTGACGCTGGCTGGATAAGTGTCCCTGTGCCAGTGGGGATCCCTCCCATGGTGACCTTGGCTGGACAAGTGTCCCAATGCCAGTGGGGATCCATCCCATGGTGACACTGGCTGGACAAGTGCCCCTGTGCCAATGGGGATCCATCCCATGGTGACCTTGGCTGGACAAGTGTCCCTGTGCCAGTGGGGATCCCATGGTGACCTTGGCTGGACAAGTGTCCCTGTGCCAGTGGGGATCCCATGGTGACCTTGGCTGGACAAGTGTCCCTGTGCCAGTGGGGATCCCATGGTGACCTTGGCTGGACAAGTGTCCCTGTGCCAGTGGGGATCCCATGGTGACCTTGGCTGGACAAGTGTCCCTGTGCCAGTGGGGATCCCATGGTGACCTTGGCTGGACAAGTGTCCCCGTGCCAATGGGTACCCCCCAGAGGCAGTGCCATCAGTGGCACAGAGGTCCCTCCCTCTCACCCCTGTCCCTGGTGTCCCAGGCTTTCCCTCTGTGCTGAGGGCCCCGTGGCACATCCCAGGCGTTGTCCCAGCCCTGGGAGGGATCCTGGTGGCCCAGGATGTCCAGGGCAGCGTGAGGGAGGCATGCCAGGATCTGCTCCTCTCCTCACCTTCCAGGAGCCACCAGGAAGCTCCTCCCAGGGGCAGGACCTCCCTCGGGGCTCTCTTGGCTGCTGCTCTCGTGGTTTCAAACCCAAACAGAGGAACAGCCTTGGCCGGGTGTGAATCAGCCCCGGCATTTGTCTCGCTTGAGCCAAGCCCAGCTCCAGCATCAAGAAAGCAGGACTTTGGAGCCTGGTTTTGTTACACACACATTTCCTGCTGGCTCGTTTCCCTGAGCTTTCCCATCGCTGCCTTGTGCAGAGCACCCAGGTGTTTGGAGCTGCTCTGTTCTTTACCCACCCGGTCCTGAGCCTGGTGGGAAGTTCGGTTTTGGCCCAAACAGGAATTTCCAGAGCAGACCCACCCCGGCTCCGAGTCTCAGGACCCTCTTTGCCCCAGAACATTCCTCAGCACTGGAATGTTTGAGATGCTTAGCAGATGACCAGCACGGCTTTTTCCAAATATGCATTGTGTCTGGCATGGGAAACGGGGCCAGGGGGAGTCTGAGGCATGGCAGATGCTGGGTGGGAGCAGGGATGGAACACAAACTCATGGCTGCAGCACCAGGCCAGCAAGGGACGGCCCAGACGTGTCCAAGAGCAGAGCTGGCTCCAAGAGCCTCCGTGTGGAATGTAAATACTGTCCCTGCCAGGGAAAAAGCAGTTTATTGCAGGCGCAGAGGCGGTGAGGTAAACCTCTGGCAGGCAGATCGAGGAATGATCAGTGTGCAAGTGCAGGGGCTGGGGGAGCTGCTCCAGACCCCGTGGCGAGGGCACAGCAGGGCTGGGTGGCACCGAAGCCAGGTCACCTGCAGGGAGCTGTGCCCAGGATGCTGCAGGGCTGGGGGCCTGGCCCCAGCTCCAGCTCTGGCAGCAGCCCTGGCCCAGCAGAATTCTCCTTCTGGGGTGAACAGGGGGAAAAAGCAGCTCAGGTGTTCCCTGCACCCCAGGGATCCTCACGGGGGCTCCACTGTGACTCAGAGCATCACCCCAGCACGGCTTGTGTGGGGAGGGGTCTCACAGCCCCCCCAGTGCCACCCCTGCCGTGGCAGGGCCACTGCCACTGTCCCAGGCTGCTCCCAGAACTGCCCAGCCTGGCCTTAGGCACTGCCAGGGATCCAGGGCACTTCTCTGGGCACCCAGGGCCTCAGCACCCTCCCAGGGAACAATTCCTGCACAATGTCCACTCCAAACCAACCTTCTTTTGATTTGAAGGCGCTCCTAGGGACAGCATCATCCCATGGGTTCCTCACAAGTTCCTTCATGCAGTTATTTCCTATTTCCCTGCTATGTTTTGATCTCATTCCCAATTAATGAACCCCAGCACCCCTCCCTGCTGGAGAGGCTGACCTTCCATGAGCAGGGCTGGCTTTGGGGGTGAAATCCTCCAGGAGGAGGATTTGTTACACACACATTTCCTGCTTTCATTTGGGTGACAAACCCCACTCACCTGCATCCCCCATGGCTGGGATCACAGAGCAGTGTCCCCTCGGGGTCCCCGAGGTCTCCAGGCTGTGAGGGCACAGCTGGGAGCTGGCAGAGCTCCTCCATCCCCTCCTGGGGGTGACACGGTGTGGCAGCTCAGCCTCGGGGCTCCCTGTGCTCCCCTGTGGATCCTGGCCCATCCACACCTTCCCCTCTGCCAGAGCTATCCCGGGTGGGACCAGGGGCTTATCCCGGGTGGGACCGGCTCTGCCAGGAGCTGGCCTCTCCCCCAGGCACCACGTCCCTGTTAGGGCCAGGCTGTGGCCCCAGGACGGTGTCACCTGAGAGTCACCACGTCCTTGTCCCTTCCTTGGTGCCCATCTGGATTTCATAACCCCAAGCCCCAAACACCTGGGTGCTGCTCAGACCTGTGGGAGCACGGAGCTTCCTGATCCATTACATTTCCTGGACAGAAATACCCGTTTGAAATTCCAGCCCTGGCACAGGGTGCCCGGGGGAAAAAGCAGCCCAGGTGTTCCCTGCACCCCAGGGATCCTCACGGGGGCTCCACTGTGACTCAGAGCATCACCCCAGCACGGCTTGCGTGGGGAGGGGTCTCACAGCCCCCCCAGTGCCACCCTGCCATGGCAGGGACACTGCCACTGTCCCAGGCTGCTCCCAGAACTGCCCAGCCTGGCCTTAGGCACTGCCAGGGATCCAGGGCACTTCTCTGGGCACCCAGGGCCTCAGCACCCTCCCAGGGAACAATTCCTGCACAATGTCCACTCCAAACCAACCTTCTTTTGACTTAAAGGCGCTCCTAGGGACAGCATCATCCCATGGCTTCCTCACAAGTTCCTTCATGTAGTTATTTCCTATTTCCCTGCTATGTTTTTATCTCATTCCCAATTAATGAACGCCAGCACCCCTCCCTGCTGGAGAGGCTGACCTTCCATGAGCAGGGCTGGCTTTGGGGGTGAAATCCTCCAGGAGGAGGATTTGTTACACGCACATTTCCTGCTTTCATTTGGGTGACAAACCCCACTCGCCTGCATCCCCCATGGCTGGGATCACAGAGCAGTGTCCCCTCAGGGTCCCCGAGGTCTCCAGGCTGTGAGGGCACAGCTGGGAGCTGGCAGAGCTCCTCCATCCCCTCCTGTCCTGGGGGTGACACGGTGTGGCAGCTCAGCCTCGGGGCTCCCTGTGCTCCCCTGTGGATCCTGGCCCATCCACACCTTCCCCTCTGCCAGAGCTATCCCGGGTGGGACCAGGGGCTTATCCCGGGTGGGACCGGCTCTGCCAGGAGCTGGCCTCTCCCCCAGGCACCACGTCCCTGTTAGGGCCAGGCTGTGGCCCCAGGACGGTGTCACCTGAGAGTCACCACGTCCTTGTCCCTTCCTTGGTGCCCATCTGGATTTCATAACCCCAAGCCCCAAACACCTGGGTGCTGCTCAGACCTGTGGGAGCACGGAGCTTCCTGATCCATTACATTTCCTGGACAGAAATACTCCGTTTGAAATTCCAGCCCTGGCACAGGGTGCCCAGAGCAGCTGGGGCTGCCCCTGCACCCCTGGCAGTGCCCAAGGCCAGGCTGGGTGAGCCAAGGGGGCTGCTCAGACCTGTGGGAGCACGGAGCTTCCTGATCCATTACATTTCCTGGACAGAAATACCCGTTTGAAATTCCAGCCCTGGCACAGGGTGCCCAGAGCAGCTGGGGCTGCCCCTGCACCCCTGGCAGTGCCCAAGGCCAGGCTGGGCACTGGGACAGTGAGGTGTGGCAGGGGTGGCACTGGGGGGGCTCTGAGGTCCCTCCCAGCCCAAACCAGTCTGGGATTCCCTGGAGTGCACCTGCCCACGCTGGCCAAGCTGAGGCCCTGCTCCCCCGTCCCCAGAGGACGGTCCCTGGCAGGTTTGGGGTGACACCGAGCTGGGAGCGTGGCTGTGCCCCTGGGACCTCACCAGGCTGCAGAGACCCTGTGAGACCCTCCTGCAGCTCAGCAAGGACAGGGCCAAGCCCTGGGAAGGTGCCCAGGGGCCAGGACAGGCTGGGGCCGCCCCCACAGGGCAGGGACAGCCTGGCACAGGGACACCCAGCTGACCCCGCAGCAGTGACGTGTCCCTGGGAGGGTCTGTGCCTCCTGGGCTGGCATGCCTGGCGAGCAGGGGACAGTCCTGCCCCTGTGCCTGGCACCAGCGAGGCCACCCTGGGCCCAGCTGAGCTGCCCAGGACAGCAGGGACAGGGAGGGACCGTGGCAGCCGTGGAGGTGACACCTGGAAGGGCTGGGGGCACGGGGATCAGAGCCAAGCGTGTGAACCACTGCTGGGGGAGACTCGGGGAAACTGAGGCACGATCTTCTCCCTGGTGCCTGGGGAGAAGACAATGCACAGGAATAAAGGCAACTCTCTTTGAAAGGAAATTCTTTTTACAAGGCTGGTCAAGCAGGGGTTGACCCAAGAGGCTGGGGGCAGATCCTGGGGTGTCCCTGCAGCAGGAGGAGCTGGGGGCAGATCCTGGGGTGTCCCTGCAGCACAGAGAGCTGGGGGCAGATCCTGGGGTGTCCCTGCAGCAGGAGGAGCTGGGGGCAGATCCCGGGGTGTCCCTGCAGCACAGAGAGCTGGGGGCAGACCCTCACTGTGTGGGAAAGGAAATGCTCCCTGTGCTAACCTGCTCTTCCTCTCTGCAGGCTAGGAGGGGCCGCAGGCTGGACAGCAGCTCAGGTAAGGATGGACACGTGTCCCACCTCCTGTCACCTCCTGGGGCTCTAGGCACCTCCTGCTCTTGTCCTGTTTGTGCACCAGGAAGGTCCCACCTGCCCACCTCCCCACAGTGCTCAAAAGGAAGTTTTCCACAGGATTATGGAATGGGTTGGATGGAGTCTGCCCCAGAAAGGCAGGGCTCTGAGGTGACACCCAGGCCCAGCAGGTGGACACAGCAGCAGGGGTGTGGGAGCAGGGCTGGAGCCCCAGTGTCTCCGGGGACATCCTGGGAGATCCTTATCTGCCCACCTGAAAGCTGCGAGGAGCAGGCTCGGGTTTCCACTCTCTGGAAGTTTGCCACAGTGCCTATCACTCCCCAGCCCCGGCGGGCACGGGGCAGCAAATCCCCCCTGGATGCACCCGAGGGGAGCAGCAGGGCACGGGGACAGCCGGGACCCGCCTGTGGCACCGCGTCCCTCCCCTGGGTGGTGGCAGGCAGGAGAAAGCCTTCCACCCTGCCCTGATCCCCTGCCCGGGGTGCTCAGGGGCCAGGAGAGTCAGTGCTGATCCCAGGCAGGGTTCTGGGGGACAAACCCAGCACCAGCTCCCATCAAACATCCTCTGCAAAGTGAGGAAGGGGGTTTGCCCTTCCCAGCCGCGCAAGGAGAGAGCCCCAGAGGGGCTCGGGAGCCTCTCTGGCAGTTTTTGCGTTAGAAATTCGAGTCCTGCCTGATCTGGGAAGCAATCTGGTAACTGAAGAAGCAGTGAAATTGCAGCGCTGGAGCGGGAGGCACCACGGGCAGCCACGGGGTGAGGGAGGCTGTTCCTCACCCCTGGAAGGCTTGGGGGACAGGGACAGGAGGGACCCTGCCACCCCAGGGCTGGACGGGGCAGGAGCAGCCCCAGATCCCCCCAGAGCCCAGGGGGAGAATGAGAGTGAATGAGAGAGCACTGAGAAACGAGGGAGAGGCAGCAGCCAGGCTCCTGGATCCTACAGAAAGAATGGGAAAAGACAAAAGGAGAGCAAAAACAACCCTTTACACTGTGGTGGCTCTTCCACCAGGGAGAATTTCCCTTGGAAAGGTGCTCAGGCCTTGGCAGGGGCTGCCCAGGGAGGGTGGCAGTGCCCATCCCGGAAGGATTTAGGAGAATTCTTGGTTCCCTAAACCCTTACAATAACCAGAGGCAAATCTTTGCCAAGGGTTTTATTATCCCACGCAGGGAGAGAGAGAAGCAGGAATTTGTCTGAGTGTTGGTTGGTAGATGTGAGCCAAAGGTGAGTGTCCTTCCCTGAGGGGTGCAGGTGTGGAAAGGCTGAGTTTGCTGAAGAAGGGATCTCAGGAAGCTGATCCTGTGGGTTTTGTAACATTTATAAAATCACGGAATCCTGGATTCACTTGGGCTGGAAAAGCCCTGTGAGACCTTTGAGTCCAACCACCCCCAGCCCTGCCCAGGCCACACTGTCCCTGTCCCAAAGTGCCACAAACCCTGCAGGGATGGGGAGTGCCCCCCAGCCTGGGCAGCTGTGCCAGGCGTGGGCAGCCCTTCCCAGGTGGGAATTGTTCCCAGTGCCCACCCTGAGCCTGCCCTGGCCCAGCCTGAGGCCATTTCCCCTTGTCCTGTCCCTGGTCCCTGGCAGCAGAGCCCGACCCCCCCTGGCTGCAGGATTTCTATGGGATTTCTATGGGATCTCTGTGGGATTTCTACGGGATCTCTGCAGGATCTCTGCAGGGTCTCTGGGATCTCTGCAGGGTCTCTGTGGGGTCTCTGTGGGGTCTCAGCAGGTTTTCTGCAGGGTCTCTGTGGGATTTCTATGGGATCTCTGCAGGATCTCTGCAGGATCTCTGCAGACCCTGACGGGTTCCCGTGCCGCAGGCTCGGAGGTTGCTCCTGCGATCGAGGGACGACGTCTCCCCCCTCAGAAGAGGCAGCTCCAGCCCTTCCATCACCATCGTGCGACTGTGACCGATCTCCTCCGCCTGCTGCCCCGGGAGCCAGCCCGGAGCTGTCCCAGGGCTCGCGGCGGGCACTGCCCCTCGGGCCATTGCATGTACCCTCGGTGTGCTCCCTCCCGCCTCAGCCTCTCGCGGCGGGCTTCAGAAACAACAAAAACACCTGGAAGGACTCTGCTGGTGGCTGTGCCCGCTCTGTGTGCTGCTCCACGCCAGGGTCCCCCGGCAGTGCCACTGTCACCACGCTGGTCACTGCTCTGTCCCTCCCCGTGCACGGAACGAAGGGGGGCAGCGCCCCAGGGTCCCCCTGGCATGGCACCAAGGGGGCTCAGCCCTTCCAAACCCACCTGTGTGATTCTTCACAGCCCTTCCAAACCCACCTGTACGAGGTCCTTACAGCCCTTCCAAACCCACCTGTGAGGCCTTCACAGCCCTTCCAAACCCACCCGTGTGAGGTCCTTGCTGCCCTTCCAAACCCACCCGTGAGGCCTTCACAGCCCTTCCAGCCCTTCCAAACCCACCTGTATGAGGTACTTACAGCCCTTCCACATCCACCCGTGTGAGGCCTTCACAGCCCTTTCAGCCCTTCACAGCCCTTCCAGCCCTTCCAAACCCACCTGTACGAGGTCCTTACAGCCCTTCCAAACCCACCCGTGAGGCCTTCACAGCCCCTTCAGCCCTTCCAAACCCACCTTTACAGCCTTTCCAAACCCACCCGTGTGAGGTCCTTTCAGCCCTTCCAAACCTACCTGTGTAAGGTTTTTACAGCCTTCCCAAACCCACCCGTGTGAGGTCCTTGCTGCCCTTTCAGCCCTTCCAACCCCACCTGGAGCCAGGTGTGAGCCGGGTCCTCGGGGGGGTGGTGGGATGCAGGGATGGGGCTGTGGGGATGGAGGGGGGAGCACGGCCAGGCTGAGAGGAGCAGCAGCAGCAGGAGCTGGGCTCATTTTGGGGGGAATTCAGGGAAATGAGGGAGCAGGGATGGCAGCTCCCTGTGACTCGCACTGGGCTCCATCAGCATCCCCAAAATTCAGCCACCAGCCCCGGGCAGGGGCGGTGCCAGCGCCATTCCCGTGCTGCCCGGGGACGTCGTTTCCATGGAAGGAGCCCAGGGCCCTGGTTCATCTGTGGATGTTTCCAGAGGGGGTGGATGAAGGGAGCAGAGCCCCCCGAGCACCCCCGGCTCTGCCCCCTCCCCGCAGCCACCCCGCTCACCGGGCGGGGACAGGGACAGGGACAGGGACAGGGAACACCCCGGTGGGCACAGCCCCGCTTGGTGGAAATGCTGGGAACGAGCTGCGAGCAGGGCAGGGCAGCCCGGAGAGCCTGGAGGGAAGAGCAGCTTCAGCTGGCACAGGGGGACGGGACGGGGATGGGGACGGGGATGGGGACAGGGACAGAAATGGGGATGGGGTAAGGACAGGGATGGGGACAGGGACAGGGATGGGGACAAGGACAGGGATGGGGACAGGGACAGGGACAAGGACAGGGATGGGGACAGGGACAGGAATGAGAATGGGGATAAGGACAGGGATGGAGATGGGGACAAGGACAGAATAGGGACGGGAATGGGAATGGGGACAGGGACAAGGACAGGGATGGGAATAAGAACAGGGATGGGGACAAGGAGAGAGATGGGGATGGGAGCGAGGACAGATGGGGAAGGGGATGGGAATGGGGATAAGGAGAGGGATGGGGATAAGGACAGGATTGGGGAGAGGGATGGGAGATGGAGATGGGAATAAAAACAGGGACGGGGACAAGGACAGGGATGAGGACAAGAGCAGAAGGAGAGGGATGGGGATAAGGACAGGATTGGGGAGAGGGATGGGAGATGGAGATGGGAATAACAGATGGGGATAAGGAGAGGGATGGGGATAAGGACAGAGTTGGGGACAGGGATGGGAGATGGAGATGGGAATAACAGAGATGGGGATAAGGAGAGGGATGGGGATAAGGACAGGGATGGGGAGAGAGATGGGAGATGGAGACAGGAATGGGGATGAGATGGGGGCAAGGATGGAGAGCTGGGGACCAGAACAGAGGCAGGGAGCACTTCAGGTGGGTTTCCAGCTGGATTTGCTGCATTTGGGCATGCAGCACCCTTGGCTGTGCCGTGGCCCAAGCCCAGAAAATGGGAATGTTTTCCCGATGGCCCAGCTGGGGTGGGGGCAGCCCCAGGAGCTGGGGGTGTCACAGCTGCACAGGGGTCGGGGTCTGTCCCCCAAGCAGAGCTGAGGGGGGCTGGGGGCTCTCCCAGCTGTAGGCAAGAGGCTGGGTGTGCCCACCCGGGCCCTGCTGGTGGCACTGCCAGGGCAGGGACAGTGGCACAGCAGAGCTGGCACGCCCGGCTCGGTGTGAAAGCCTGGTGGATCCATGGCTTGGAGGGGATGGGAAGGAAGCTGCAGGGCCCCCCCAGAGCCCTGACAGCCAGGAGAGCGGGGCTGGGGTGCCCAGGGCCCTGGTGTCACCCAAGGGTGTCACTCAGGGAGGTAATTAACCCCTTTTTGATTGCCCCCTGGGCTGAACACAGGCTGGGCAGAGCTCATGCCAGCTGCACCCTCCGGATCAGGATTGCCATGAGCAATTCCCCGGGGAATTGCAACCAACCCGAAGGAAAATGAACCTGGAAGTGTTTACCCATGGGCAGAGCTCTGTCCTGAGCTGGCACCCCCGGGCTGCTGCCAGGACAGGGACATCACCATTGCCATGGGGATGGGGATGGGTTAATGCCAGGACAGGGGCATCCCAACTGCCACGGGAATGGGGATGGGTTAATGCCAGGACAGGGACATCCCAAATGCCACAGGGATGGGTTAATGCCAGGACAGGGACATCCCAACTGCCACGGGAATGGGTTAATGCCAGGACAGGGACATCCCAAATGCCACGGGCAGGAATGGGGACGGGAGCCACACGGGGTCCCACACGGCTGCTCTGTGGGTGACACGCACAAGCACAGGGGTGGCCGTGGCCACTCCTGGCTCCCCAAGCCCTGGCAGTGCCCACACAGGGGGGTGTCCCTGGGGCTCACACCAAGCTCCGGTGCCGTTCCCTGTTTCTGCAGGCACAGGGAGTGCGGGATTGTCCCCGGAGCGGGATTGTCCCAGGAGCAGGATTGTCCCTGAGATCAGGATTGTCCCCAGGAGCAGGACTGTCCCAGGGATCAGGACTGTCCCCAGGAGCAGGACTGTCCCAGGGATCAGGACTGTCCCCAGGAGCAGGACTTTCCCCGGGATCGGGATTGTCCCCGGGATCAGGACTGTCCCCAAGACCAGGACTGTCCCCGGGAGCGGCTGGCGGCGCACAAGCACAGGGATGGCCGTGGCCACTCCTGGCTCCCCAAGCCCTGGCAGTGCCCACACAGGGGGGTGTCCCTGGGGCTCACACCAAGCTCCGGTGCCGTTCCCTGTTTCTGCAGGCACAGGGAGTGCGGGATTGTCCCCGGAGCGGGATTGTCCCAGGAGCGGGATTGTCCCTGAGATCAGGACTGTCCCCAGGAGCAGGACTGTCCCCGGGATCGGGATTGTCCCCGGGATCAGGACTGTCCCCAAGACCAGGACTGTCCCAGGGATCAGGACTGTCCCCGAGACCAGATTTGTCCCCAGGATCAGGACTGTCCCTAGGAGCCCCAGGAGCAGGATTATTCCCCGGGACCAGGACTGTCCCCAGGAGCAGGACTGTCCCCGGGATCGGGATTGTCCCCGGGATCAGGACTGTCCCCAAGACCAGGACTGTCCCCGGGAGCGGCTGGCGGCGGTGCCGTGACCCGGGGAACGATTCCAGCCGCAGCCTGCGAGCGGGCAGACATGTTCTGTCATCCGCCAACTATGTAATAAATCCATCTCCTCCCCGCGGGGTGTCCGGTCCCTTGGCAGGGCTGGCTGAGGAAAGGGGAGCCGGCTTTGCTCGGGCGGAGCAGCTGCGGGGCCGCGCGGAGCCGGAGATCCCGCATTGGTCACGGCCGGGGCACGGCAGCGCACAGAGCCGCCAGTGTTCGGGCCGCAGCTGCCAGATGTGCTCCCCGCCCGAACAGCCGCACATCTGGCCGGGGAGAGCGGGCTGGGGGCACCTGGGAGGTGACAGAGCCCCCAGCACAGCCCGGGCTCGGTGTCACCAAGGCGGTGACAGAGCCCCCAGCACCCTCCAGGCTCGGGGACATCAGGGTGGTGACAGATGTCACCTGCGAGCACACCCCAGATTCGGGGACACCAAGGCGGTGACAGAACCCCCAGTGTCTGCAGGCACGTCCCGGGCTCGGGGACATCAGGGTGGTGACAGAACCCCGAGCACACTGGGGTGGGGTAGGGTGGGGTGGGATGGATGGATGGATGGATGGATGGATGGATGGATGGATGGATGGATGGATGGATGGATGGATGATGGATGGATGATGGATGGATGATGGATGGATGGATGGATGGATGGGGATGGATGATGGATGATGGATGGATGGAGGGATGGATGGATGATGGATGGATGGATGGATGGATGGATGGATGGATGATGGATGGATGGATGATGGATGGATGATGGATGGATGATGGATGGATGGATGATGGATGGATGGATGGATGGATGGATGGATGGATGGATGGATGGGATGGGATGGGGTGGACAGGGGTGGGCAGGGATGTGCAGGACAGGGACGGGCAGGGATGGGCAGTGCCCGCGGGCTGAGCGCTGTCCTGAGCCCGGCTCTGCCACCGTGGCACCCCCGGGACACCGGAGCAGCCCCCGGGACACCGGCACGCCGCCCCCCCGTGCCCAGCCCCGCGCTGGGGGCCGCCTGCCCTGTCCCCTCTGTCCCCCCCACCCTGCCAGGCTCCCTTTGGGGACACGAAGCCACCGCGGTGCCGGCGGGGCCTGGGTGGGCACAGCCGCAGCCCGGGGCCCCCTCCTAGGGTGAGGGTCCCCCAGCCGCCCCGTCCCCTCCCAGGGCCCGGTGTCCCTGCCCGCTGCTCGTCCCAAGGGCTGTAACCCTTTCACACCTCATTAGAGCCGTAATTAACCCCATTATCCCCAGCTGCAGGGGGAGGGGCCGCTCTCGCTCAGAGGGGGCTCAGCCCCACGGAGACCCCAGGAGCCCCACGGAGACCCCAGGGTCTCTGTGCACCCCAGAGCGTCCCCAGGGACCCCCAGGACCCCCACTGGCCGGCCCCCGCTGGCCCCG